AGCGGCGCACTGAGACGCCCCCTCTTTTCGAAGTTCGAATCGTGGGTTGACCATGCTTACCCACGGTAACCAAGCTTCCTCTGAAATCTGCTAATCGACACCATAACCGGGTCGATAGAAGCCTCAACTTGAACATAGACACCTCGCATTCTTCTCCATTCAAAATGGTAGAGTGCAAGTCATTGGGTAGACCACGAATGCATTCAAACCGCATTACGATTCTGAATGGAAGTCGAATGCGGGGTGCATTCCAACAACGGGATTCGTTGAAGTCAGACTTACTTTAGAATTCATGAAAAAAGTGTACATATTGCATACGTGATTGTTTACTTATTACTATGACCACACAGCATATGAATGACTATATTATCAACAAGACTACTAGAGACTTTTAAGATCTAACATTTTTTTTATAAAAGGGGTGGCGACCCGAAATTTTGGTATGTTCTTGTCAGATTGAACAGCTTCCTTGCGCCTCGTCGATTGGCCTTTGTACAAGAGCTGTTCCCATGGTCAATGATCTCAAGCCTTTGCGGGACCCGCTGCTCCTGTTGATTGTCGCCTCGCCATTTCCTTCCCTTTGCAGATCTTCTGCCTTGAGCTTGGTTTCGGCGAACGAAACCTCCACGTCCCACCACCTCTTTTCTTAGAGTTCCTGTAGTTCGCTTCCAGTGAACTTCGAACTCCATTGCTTTAGCTTTCCCAGGCTCCGACAAATGTGAAGGCACCGAGACATCAGCCTAATCAAGTTTGTTTACTATCTCGGTTCTACAGCTCAAAAAAAAAAACTTCAAAGCTTTCTCTTTGGTTCGAACCATCTCAATGGTGGAAGCAAGTAGAAGAATACCACAGTGGGCAACCCATCGTCTGCTGGTAATGTGTTGCCACCGCCGTCCTTGGGGCAAGCTGGTATTCCTCTATGACTAACTGGTATCATTGGTCGTCTACTTGCTTTCCGTATGGGGTAGCATACAGCAGGGCCTGGTCGATGGTGGTGGTGAAGGTGTACCGTTCATAGTTTTTTATCAAACTCAGTGCAGACGATATTGCCAAGCCAGTTCTATGTTTCTGCTCCCTATGCTCTAATTCCATCCCACCACTAATCCTTTGTTTCTACTAAGTAGGCTGGGCTTATACAAAGTCAAGCTTATCCTCCAAGCTTCCAGGACATATCCGAAGAAGTCTTCTCTAGAGGATCATAAGCACTTATACAATCCTACGCAGCAAATTGAAGCGAATATTTTCCGAAAACTTTAAAAATACCTACAAACGCGCTGTTTCGCTTTAGTCAACCTTTAAGTGCGGAGCAGAAACAATGCCATAGAAAAGTAGAATGAAACCTGAGGAGCTCTAGGAGGTGCTCAGAAAAAAGTTCTGCATAAGAAGCTGCTAGGAGATTCCTTGCCTAGATTCCTGATGTTGGAGATTCAGAAGCTCTACAATAATAAGCTGACTCCTATTTCTCCCGTTCCGAGGGGTTCAGCGTCCCTTAGGCTTCCGACAGAATTTCGCGCTCAACCAAAGCTGAAGTTTGTGAACACGCTTTTCCAAGAGTGCGATGGAGCTAAGGAATTCTTGGGTAGAAAGTTCCAGTCTTCCCATTCCTAAGAGCAAATCGAAGAAGTGAAGTTGCATCATCGTCACAACTCTTCCGACCGGGTATATATTGTTTCGGATTAGTCTAAGTTGACGGGAATGATAATCCTCCAACGCACCCAGGATGAGTGTAGAGGCGAGAGAAGCGCTGTCGATCAGTTAAGAGCATGGCTATGGGAACAAGTCCCGCCCGCATTCAGACGGCACACCGCCGTATGGAAGCGTTCAAGCGGCGGCAGCTTCGGGCATGTAAGTAATTCAAATTTTACTCTATCGCTTTTTCCAAGTACTCAAGCCTCCGGAGTCCATCTAACTCGTAATTGTTTTTAGAGAGTATTGTGTTCAAAATTGGCAATAAATTTTTATATTTTCCCATCATACGGAGAAATTTACCCAATCTTTGTATAGGAGATCTTACCCGAGCCAGACCTAAAGTTTTCCAAGATCATGTATTACCAGACCAAATCCAAGAACGGATGTAATTGACGGGTTTGTCCTGGATTAGTATCCTGGAGCAGCAACTTCTGTTTAGTCGACTTTTCAGAATTTCACCAACGAAGTAACGATTCCAATTTCTTCCAGAAAGACCCTATTCTATCTTAGGAGATATTGAGCTTGGAAGGTATATAAAGCCCAAGAAGGTGAAGAATTTGGATCCAACGTTTCTCATCTAACAGTCAGTGCTAGAATGAAGGCCTACCAATAGCGACGTCAGAGAATAGCCTGAAAAANGGGTTTGTCCTGGATTAGTATCCTGGAGCAGCAACTTCTGTTTAGTCGACTTTTCAGAACTTCACCAACGAAGTAACGATTCCAATTTCGTCCAGAAAGACCCTATTCTATCCTAGGAGATATTGAGCTTGGAAGGTATATAAAGCCCAAGAAGGTGAAGAATTTGGATCCAACGTTTCTCATCTATCAGTCAGTGCTAGAATGAAGGCCTACCAATAGCACGTCAGAGAATAGTCTGAAAAAGGATTCCGCAGAAAATCCCCTCTCACAGCTGATTGACAAGATTATTGGCAACTCTTTATTGACATATCCCAACAGCTTAGAAATGTTATACATTCGCTGACATTGCTTCGTGATTCATCCACTAAGTCGGCTATTCCGTTTGCTTCTCTGAATTTTACGGTAGTTACCAGAAATTTGTGTGGTCCTAGCTTCTCTGGGCTTGACCTGGATGAATTACCGTCTTCTAGAGAGCCCAACTCCACTTTAATTGATGAATGAGTGCTAGTTACTGCCCATGCATTGCTGACAACTGCAGTAATTGTGCCCATTACTCGTCTGATCCGTGAACTTTACATGAATTTAAAAGCCGTCGTACCTGATTGATGTATATCCTATTCTGAAGCACTAGCCTGGTCTCTAGGCCAGCAAAAAATCTGGTACCCCTGGTCTGAAATCGGTTCAAGCGGTATCTGATGGCCATAGCTGAATGATAACCGAGTAAGGTACTACGAGGTGAGAAGCACGGAATCGTCACACCCCCGCTGTTTCGAACTTTTATTCGTTCCCAAATTGTACCTATACGACCCACAAAGTGGACTACGGATGGCATCATCGCCTTTGTAAAAAGGCTATTGAATCGTCAGAGGGATGTGAAGAACAGGGGGATAGGGACGTCGTTAAAATAAGAGCACCATTTTTTCCGTTTTGAGGAGGTCCGCCTGCGATTGCCTCCATAGCAAAGCATGGCGATATCCAAGTAAATGTTCAGAAACTTGGAAAGAATAGGAACTTCAACAGTGTTCCGACGACCGGTCACCTTTGTGCTTTCCCTTTTTGTTATCTATTTTCTTCGTCAATTATGTCTTAGAGGCGCCTTTTCATTCGTACTGACGATTAGCGCTCATTTAATTTGAGTGAATTCGACTTCTAAGGCTTTTTTTTCGAAACTATAGTCCAGTCTTGCAAATTAAATACCTTGTATCGACCATTTGCTCACTGCGTCGTTTACACGGTCGTCATGGTGTTTCAATGGGCATGTACTTCGAAAACTCTTTAAACTTCTAACAAGGTCTGCACTGCAGGCCTTTATGCCTGATAGCCGTTTCCTTTATAGCGAAATAAGCATAAATCAGCAGCCATTTTAATGTATCGTAAATGTTATTGGGAAGCGATTACTTAGAACTAGACCTACGTCAGGAAAATTGCAAAAAATCAAAATTATGGACACTTTCGACTATGCAAACCAGACCTACGTCAGGAAAATTGCAAAAAATCAAAATTATGGACACTTTCGACTATGCGCTATATAAGCTCCTGAGCACTACAGTAACTAATTCTCTTGAAATTGAAAATCTTGCAAATGAGTGAATGACTGTTTGTCAGCAAAAACTTGTTCGACTTCTGAAACCACTAGCATGAATCTCAAGGAAAACTCTGAATAAGGGGGAAAAAAACCAGTACCCAGTGACTACAAATCCGCTTCATTGTAGTTACTGTGAAACTGTTCTTCGTTCGTACTCTTCGGAATCCCTTCTGTTCCGGTTATTCATTGTAATATACTTGAGGT